TAACATGGGATTTTTGGGCTCTATAGATTTTGCCCATTTTTTGATATGTTGTAGTGTAGTGGATTTAATTCTTAACAACCTTTAAATGGAACGAAATCTTGTAGGTATTACGGTCTTTGTGATATGAGTGTTGAAAAATGAACTTTTTTGCGATTTTTGTGTGGAGAGTATACGAAATACTGGTGTTTGTCAGTCAAAATATTGACAGGCTCACATATTTTACGTCACTAACAAATGTCAACATAGGCTGAGGCCGGGACCGCACTGCGGCGCCAACATTGGTCCCAGTGCGGTCCCCGCCTTAGCCGATGATGACAATCGTTGACATTAATTTGTTGTGATATAAAATATGTAAACCTGTCAATATTTTGACTGATAAACACCAGTAGCACCAGTATTTCGTATACTCTCCACAAAAAAAGTCGCAAAAAAGTTCATCTTTCAACGCTCATATCTCAAAGACCATATTACCTACAAGATTTCGTCCCATTTAAAAGTTGTTAAGAATTGAATCCTCTACAACATATCAAAAAATGGGCAAAATCCATAGAACCCAAAAATCCCATATTAGGTGTGCGTTATCCTTTAAGATCGAAAAAATTTTTAATAAGTCTTACATGTATCAGGAAACATAACCTCGTCAGATCGACATTTTGGGGGTATCGGACTCCCCCAATTTGCCATTATTTTTGTCGGTCAAGTTGATTTCCGTGATTTAGACATAAAAATCAAATATTATCGTGAAATTAGATTTACATGTATCAAGAAACATAGCTACGTCAGATCGACATGTTTGCGAGTCGCTTGCGCGCATACTTGCCATTTCCAAGAAAAGTCGTAGAAGAAAAAGTTGTCGGACTTGATGTAGGTAAGCCACTCACAAAGTATGGGGTTTACACACTGATCTCAAAAATAAATTGATAAACAAACAACGCTTCTAATGCTGCTAATTTACGAGGTCAAAATCTAAACAAAAACAACTGACTGGGACAGCTGTGAGCGTGCGCAGTAGATACATGTATTGTGTGTGCACAAAATCTGGCCAATGAAAATGAAGGAATTTCAAAATTTAGAACAGTTGTTCGAAAGATAAGACACTGCGCAGGCGTTAGGCTGTTCCGTTGCACAACTGTTCGTAGAATATTGACCCCAAATATTCGCACAAATTTTGCCAATCAAGCCGTATGAATTGTTTATTCATTTATTTTTTAGATCAGTGGGTTTACATGCATAACTGAAAAAAAAAAGGTCCTTGGATGGTTGATTATTAAGGAATATTTACGGTAGACGATAATGGCATTTTATCGTCGTGTGTAAAACAAAGTTTTTTTCCATAGCCTAATTATGGACGCCTGTAGTATCAAAAATGTTTAGAAATTATTTGAGTCGAACACTTTTGCATAAGTAGAAATTCGTTTGACAAACTTTGACAAATAAATAAAAAAACAAAATATGTAGGCATATATTTTTGCAATAATTGTGTGAACCTTTTTTCACGAATGTATATGTAGTATATTGTCCATATTCGGTTGAGCAGTCTCTTATATTTTTTTATTTTTTATTTTATTACTATACGGGAAAACCCCATTACAAAATAACAATTTCAATAAACATTCTTCAAGGTTACAACAAATTCTGCTTAACACTAACTACAAAAAATAAAAATAATACTCCATAATCCTATGAAAGGCTATCTAAATCCCCTTGCAGAAGGCCAACATCAAGCTCGCTAACAATAATCGAAAATAACTTAAGGTCGTCCGCAAACATCAAAAACTCGCAGTTATTTAGGCGTTCTTTTAGGTCATTAACAAACAAACTAAATAGCAAAGGGGAGCAGTGCCCCCCTTGGGGTACGCCGGAACTGACTTTAATAATCTTAGAATGAAAATTACCAATTTTAACCATGAGCCTTCTGCCCCCGAGAAAGCCAAGTAACCATTTACCCAATCTTTCAGAAAAACCCAAATTAGTTAACTTCTTAATGAGCAACTCATGGTTGACTCTGTCAAATACCTTGGAGAAGTCGGTATACACAGCATCTACCTGATACCGCCTCTCCAAGGCATCCGACAGTTTACTGTGGTAAATGAGCAAGTTAGTCAGTGTGGACAGACCCCCCCTAAAGCCATGTTGCTCATCCATAATAAATTCCTTACATTGCCAGGCTAAATGACTATACATCAAACTGTCAAAGACCTTAGGAATAGAAGATTGAATAGATACACTACGATAATTTTTTATGTCATTTCTTGAGCCAGATTTAAAGATAGGTGAGATGTAACTCTCTTTCCAAATTTCAGGGAAAATTGATGCATTCAATGATAAATTAAATAGCCCACACAAAGGATGAGATAATGAATACCTGCATTGCTTCAGAACTACATTTGGTATCCCATCAGGCCCTATCATTACTTTATTAGGTAAAGACCCTAGTTTATCAAACACCTCTGAAACACTTATGATAGGGCAGTCCACATATAAATGGCTATAAGACCTGTCTGGTGTTGTTGAATTATTATTAGTGTAAACAGATGAAAAGTGATCCGCAAACAAGTCAACAATCTCCTGACCATTCGTAGCCAAAGAATTATTAAGAACCATATTTTTAGGAATATTACTCGATGTTCTTTTCCTATTTATAAATTTCCAAAAATTTTTTTGGGTTACAGGTGAGATCCGTATTTATGGAGGCCACAAAATTTTGATAACATTCCTTGGTTAGTCTTTTACATTGCATTCTCAACTCACAAAATTCAAAATAATCTCTGATATTACCTGTTATCTGATATTTTTTATGTTTGCTTTTTTTAAGAGAAATTAATTTTCTTAATTCACTGGAAAAATAAGAGGGAAAGCCAGATGTCCTAAACTTCTTACGAGGTACAAAACAATGAATCCCATAGTTTAAGATATTATAAAATTTGTTTACCACACTATTAATATTACTATTGCAAAAAATAGTATCCCATTTAACAGAAAACAAATAGTCATTCAGGCCCTGATAATTACCATTTTTAAAATCAAAATAAAATTCCTCCACTCTAAGCGAATCATATTGAACATTTTTTAAAGTAAAGCTACAAGCATATGATACATGATGAATAGAATCACAAAATAATGGATCAATTGCCTTGGCACAATCAATTGCGTTGTCATTTGTAAATAATAAGTCAAGAAATACATTTCTCCTGTTAGGAACAGTAAACTTTTGATACATATTGAAAAAACCATAAGTTTGAGCTAGATATAATGCAGGTGAATTCGAAGAACATACCACTTCCACACCATTTTCTGCATTCGACCACTGCACCCCTGGCAAATTGAAATCTCCAACCACAAAATACTCTGAGCCTGGATGTGCCAAACATATTTCTTCGACTGCTATACAATGGTTGCTATAGTACTCTTCTGGTGATCCCGGTGGAATATAAACTTCCCCCACTACAAATTCGACTCCGAAACATTTGCATAAGACAAAAATTTGCTCAAAATTATTCTCCATTTTCTTTATAATTGATGCTTGTATACTATTTTTCATCATTATCAGCACTCCACCTCCCCTAATTTTTGTTGTCACTTGTGCATTTCTGTCAGCTCAAAATATATTATAATTGCTACAACATAACTCTTCAGAAAAAATGCCATCATGCAGCCAACTCTCAGTCAAAACAATAATGTCGTAGTTTGTACAGTTTACTGCATCATTAAGCTCCGTTAGTTTGGTACGGAGCCCCCCAACATTCTGGTAATATAACTGTAATGGGGTCACATTTAGTTTTTTCTTCTTGTATTAGTGGCCTGAGTGTCCTTCCGCATTACCCTTGGGCACCCATTCATGTAACGGATGACATAGTTATCATCCCCATTTTCATCATTCTTGGCATTTAGTTCCGTTATTACTTTTTTAAATTGTTCTCTTTGCATCACAGTTTGATCATAATTCACCCTATAGGCAGACTCCAGCAACTTCCTTTTAGCTTTTACTACTCGTTTCACAAATGATGGATCGGTGCATACAACTTTTAAGGGCCTATTAGAGCCTTCCTTTTTCATACCCAACCTAAGAACTTTATCAATCACTTCTGCTCCATTGACACTCTGTTGTACATCCAATAGTCTGCATACCTCCTGCACTACTTTCTTATCATCCTCAATTCGTACAGACAACTCATCGCTCTGTGACTCCTTTGCATTAAAAATAATAAAATTTTTGGATTTATTTGCTCTTTCCTGGAACTCAGTAAAGATCTGTTCGGTATTAACCTATATACTCGGCTTCAAAAATTGTGAAAATACTATCTTTCTGATTCTGTAAACCATTCTACCTGTGCAGAAATTTGAGGTACTTGGTTTCTCTGATAGTATTTTTAAAATTTTTAGAACCAAATTTTTTGGAGACGGCTCAACCAAATATAGACATGCTATATATTTTTGGAATCGGGAAATTTTGAAAATAAAACCAAATATAGGGCATCCCATTTGAAAAAAGCTGATAGCATGCAACATTTCACATTTCTGACATTTTATTTCTGTTTTTGACAATGGATTCTAAAAATTTAGCCAAAACTGTATTATCCGTTCACAATCTAATGTCCACAGGTACAGGTAAAATTTATCACCTTTCAATGCTATTTGATAGGGAAAGGTGATAAATTTACCTATACCTGTAGACATCGGATTGTGAATAGGATATACAACTTTTGTATTTACACCTTTTTTCTATCTATAAAGGTAAAGGCTGTAGGTCGGGTGTCAATATATAAAAAAGCACCCTGTTCAAAAAAAGTCATATGAATTTTTTTCCATAATTCCAACCCTTAGCAGATTCCTATTCTGAAAGCATCGTTTAACCAGGACAGCAATTACCTTGGCATTTATTGTTGATTTAAGGCAGTTAAAATGAATAAAGTATTGCTTACGGTTCTCTCTCTCTTTTCTTTATATTCCTAAAAGAAACCCTCGATATTCAGCTGTAATTATTTTGTTTTCTGTTTCAGTTTGAGAAATACACAAGACACGCGAAGCAGATGAACAAAGTGAGATCGCGTTTCAGGGACATGTTACACAAGCAAATACAACACAAAAGGCAACAAATCAAATTATTGGAACAAGAAGTCGAAGAAATGGTAGAAACGTTGGACACAATCGACAGAGAAACCAATACCTTTATTATCGAGGAGGAAGAAGAAAAAAATATTGTAATAATTTTTATATAAATCCGTAGTGAATAACATACAATATTTTATTTCATGGAGTAAAATTTATAATTAATTTTTGTCTGACAATTACAGATCAAACAAGATTTCACATCGATAACAACAGTCTTGGAAAATACTCGAGTTGATTTAGTAGCTCAGACTGAGAGTCTTGAGGAAAATTTTGAAAATATAACTCGAAACAATAATAAAGTAAAGTCACGCCTTACTGAGGTGAGTTTAAATATTTTATTTTTGTGTTTGTTTAAAGTTGAAATCAATATTTTTTTTCAGTTAATCAACGAAAAAATCGACACGGAAACGGCCCATTTAAACCTCAACCAAACTCAAATCGATACGATGAAACAAATGATCGCCTCAACAGAAAAATCTCTAGAGATCCACATTTCTGAGCAAAAATCACTATTAGAAACGACTGAGGAAATAGGAAAAGATTTATTGGAAGGGTGGACTCCGGTGATTCGAGCCGGCGATACTCCGAATAAAATCAGCCTTAATTATCCGAAACGGGTGGGCGATGGAGCTTTGCCCAGAGATGTGCTTATTAAAAAGTTCAAAGAGGAATTTGATGAGGTAAGTGAAGTTTTAGAGTGTTTTGAGGTTACGAATCTGGGAATTTTTTTACTTTTAGGATATTGAAAATGAGTCTTTCCATTTGAACGTTTCAACAAATACTGAGGTGAGTTGTGTGTGGGATATTTTTATGTCTATATAGTTTTTCATACTTCAAAGCTTTGAGGCACATATGAAGTTAGCACCTGATTCTTTTTGAAATGTAGTGCAATAATTCGGAGTAAATATCATTCAACAGTCTCGAAATTATAATAAATTAATCGTATTATATAAAGGCTATCTCAGGACAATTCATAAGCCACTGCCTCTTTTTCGTATCTTATCAAAATATTGAAATTAATTGATTTATTTTTTCCCCTAGGAACACCTCAGCCCTCAGAAAAGCAATGAATACTCGGACACTGCCACGTAACCTAATTAAGTTTAAAGTATTATTATTTTTAGATAACAGATTTTATTTTCTCAGACTATTTTACTGTAAAAACTAAATTAGCCTCTTTTTTTTTGTGTGATAACTATTTGAGCGATTGCAATACCTACTGATTGATTGATTTCAAAATTCTTTCAACTATGTTAGTCTATAAGTTTTGTGGTGTTTTTTATTTTATTCATATTTGCCTCATAGGATATAGTTTTCACCACTGTGTCTGTAAAGTAGCGGATAAATTCATTATTTTGAAAATGGTAAAATTTTTGAAAAATCGCTCAGGCACATCGATTTTGTTTTTTTGTTTGAAATTTTTTGATATATTTTTTATTATACAGGGTGTCTCAAAAATAGCTCCACTGCTATCAAATTTGTTTTTTCAAATGGATCACCCTGCATGTTATAACATTTATGGATTCTGCGGGAAATTTTTGACATATTCTTCAGGTTTTACAGTCTGTCAAAGTTGCAAAAAAATCAATTTTCAACTGTCAATATTTCCGAAACAGTTGAAGATACTTATATGACATTGTACATGAAATATGTCAACAATTTCCCGCAGAATACATAAATGTCATAATATACAGGGTGATCCATTTGAAAAAACAAAGTTGATAGCAGTGGAGCTATTTTTGAGACACCCTGTATAATAAAAAATATATCAAAAAATTTCAAACAAAAAAACAAATTTGACGTGTCTGAGCGATTTTTCAAAAATTCTACAGTTTTCAAAATAATGAATTTATCCGTTACTTTACGGACACACTGTATATTTCTTTATGTGCGTGTATATGTATATAGTGCAGATTTTTAATAATAAATCCCAAACAAATTAGAAGTTTTTTGTTTTATAATTTTTATGGAATTAGTCATTTTCAACTTTTCCGTAAATCTGAAGGACATCACACACATCTTATGGGTTTTCGGGGAATGGTCGATTTAAAAAAAAATTAAGTATGTATGTTGTGGTACTAGCAAAAATAAGTATTTCTTATCATTATAGATGAAAAAAGATTGACAGACTGCGCTTTTGTAAATCCTGTATCAACTATGATTGATAAACTAAACTGCTGGACAAATGCGACAAATGAAACGGAACAAGAGAATTTTCAGGTTAACATTGGATTTCTATATTACGCAAACTGAAAAAAAATATCAACATATATCAATTTGCAGATTTTAGAAGATAATTTATATCCGAACACGCTGCTTTGGTCCAATTTTTCTTTTTTGTTGAAGATCCTTACTAACTACAAGGTGAGAGAGAAAAGAGAGTTTTTTTTTAACCAAAATTTCCGGGTTTCCACAAAACGAAAAGTAAATCTCTTTTATTGGCATTTCTTCAGTCTTATAAGGAAAGAACTAATTCACAAATTTATAATTTCTTCGTTAATGAAATTTCGATTTTTTTCAAAAATCCTGTTATTTTTAGGGTTTTTATGTACTGTTTGTTTCACCAGGGTTTGTACTTGCCACCAGCATTTGCCTTCCTTGTTTAACAAATAAAAATTGACTGAAACAAATCAATGACGTCAAAAACGTTCGTCGGTTCTTAAACCAAAAGTCATTCATTTTAATTTGTCAAAAAAATTGAATGTGTCATTGAATTAATAATCTACGACAAGCCTTTTTTTTTCAAGTTTCAAGGTCAAGTATGAACCCTGGTGAAACGAACCTTATTCATATCATCGCTGATCTAGCAAAGTGGCGTAAGCGCCAAAATTTCAAAATGTATGTTGAGAGCACCAAAAGATTCCCAGTCGGTTAATCTGTGATCTGGTACACAGGCGTACATCCATTCCTTCGGGGCTAATAATAAAGTCACATTTTCAATGGGCGTAAGCGTCATCAATTTAAAATCGAAATCTAACAAAGAGGCGTAAATCCATAACATGGACTTACGCCTATCCGCTGAATCTTTTGTAAGCAGTATTGTGTGATACGCCCCAATGTTAAAAATGAACGGATTCTTGCATCAGTGAAAGGAAAACGGTTGAAAATAGTATATTGTTGTATTAGGAGTAGAAGCTTTACTTTTTTGTGCTGATGCAGTAGGTTTGCGAGCCGAACGTAGTGAGGCTTGCAATACTGCTGAAGCACAAAAAAGTGCTTCTACTCCGTATGCAACACGCTATTTTTTCTCCAAACAAATGGGGTAAGCTCGGGGGTAACTGAATGGTTAAGCGGCAGTAAAAGTACGAGCGGCACTAAAAGTACTTTTGCTGCCGCTCCAGCGGCACTAAAAGTACTTCTACTGCCGCTGCGGTTGCCTAGCAGCATTAAAAATTAAATTTCTACCACCTCGGCAGGTGTTAACCTGCTGGATTTGCCTACCAGCATAGAAATTAAATTTCTGACATCTTGACAGAGGTTAACAAAGTGGCGTTTTTTTGACGTTTGGAGAAAAATTAAATTTCTACCACCTCGACAGGTGTTAACCCGCCGGATTTGCCTAGCAGCATAGAAATCAAATTTGCTGACATCTTGACAGGGGTTAACAAAGTGAAGTTTTTCTGACGTTTGGAGAAAAACATTGTTTATTTACAATCATACATGTAATGTTGACTTTACTGACTTTTAAAAAGTTCGAAAATGTCACTTTTTTGACTTTTACTTTCGGCCCACGGGTCGAAAGTTTACTTTCGACCCGTGGGCCGAAAGTAAATGGAATTTTTAAAAATTATTGTATTTTTTGACTTTTACTTTCGGCCCACGGGTCGAAAGTAAACTTTCGACCCGTGGGCCGAAAGTAAATGAAATTGTTAATTATTGTATTTTTTTAGTTTTAATCCAAATGAAAATTTCAAAATTCGAATGATTGTAAATAAAATAGTATACATACCTCGGTGAAAAGTTTCATTACTGTCTCGAAATTTTAGTTAGACCACGGCTGCGCCTCGGTCTAACTAAAATATACTATTTTACGACTATTAGAGAATTTTTCCATTTCGACGTATTGTCAAAGATTACAAATGACTTGTGTTCATGTCATAATGTGAATGAAAAAAATTTATACATAATATCAATTATTATAAAATAAGATAAAATACTGTCTACTGAACTCGAGACTGTAGAGAAAAACACTGGTATTGGTAGTGGTGTTAGTTATAAAATGTACGGGCGTCAAGAAGAAAAATATTACTTTGGGATACAAACAGAAAACGAAATAGAAAGTGACGAAGATGACAATTTGCCTCTCAGTATTTTAAAACAAAACATCAAAAGAGCTTCATCAGTTTATAGAAAGTTACCGGAAAATTCGAGAAATGCAAAAGAAATAACGGATAATGACAACAGGAAAAAAGAAGTATATAAGAGTGCTTTTAGTGTTGCTGAGCCAGTTACAACTGTTTTGAAGTCAATTAGCGAGCCTGGCAGTAAATGTCTCCAAAATGTTCCACTGAGTGTTGTAAGACAAAACCCTCAAACAACTTCTCCAGTTTGCACAAAGTTTTCAGAAAATTGTATTCAAAGAGAACCTGGGCAATATAAATCTACTAACACTAACAGCGATCACGACCCCACCTACAGAGCGAGCTGTGCATTTCGAAACTGTAGAGATGAAATATGGGCAGCATGTGAAAGATGTTCTGAGTTGCTTCGTTGGGAACATTTTATCAACAACGAAACCTGTACTGAACATGTTGACAGCGTTTGTTTCCGAAAATGAGGAAAATATACTGCCCATTTTGCTTTCTAAAGGTATGAAAACTAACCTAGAGATTCGCAGAAGATATGCTGTGGATGGAGAACAAAGGGAAGTATCCTTTGATAAAGTGAGGAAGGGCAATAAAAGGAAGATCGCACATGACAAGAGAGTAGCGGGAGAAGCTTATGTCAGTAGCACCTCTGGAAAGGCTGTTTTAGCTAAAGGGATGAAACCTCGTTGTACGAGTGAAAAATGCAAGAGTACAGTGTGCAGTATCAGTGATGTCCAAAGGCAGAAAATATTCAACGCTTTTTATGGTACAAAGAGCTTACAGCAACAAAGGGTGTTTATTATACGACACGTACAGATCAAAGCTATCAAGCGGAAAAGGACAGACAAAGAAGTTTCATGTAGGTCGAAGACATTTGAATACCACCTTCCTAAAAGTGACGGAATGTCCGTAGTTTGTAAAACAATGTTTTTAAACACTTTTGGAATTTCAGAAAAGACAATGCGTTCGGCTTTATCTAAAAGAACAGAAGAAGGGATAGTAGAGCCCGATAGACGAGGAGGGCGACATGAAATGTTGAAAAAAAACGATGCAAAAATGAGAGCTTCAGCATTAGAACACATTCAGAAGTTTCCTAGAATGGAGTCAAATTTTTGTAGGCAGTCCTCTTCACGAGAATACTTACACCCTGATTTGACTGTGAAAAAAAATGTACTATTTTTACCAAAACGATAATGGCAACCAACCACATTGTAGTTATCATACATATCGACGGACTTTTAAATCTCTAAATCTTTCCTTTCATCATCCTAAGAAGGATCAATGTACTTTGTGCTTGTCATACAGGCAAGCTGATGAAAAAAGAAAACTGGAACTCGAGGATGCTTATAATAATCATACTGCTGAAAAGATATCTGTTCGCAGGAAAAAAGAAGAAGCCAGGGAAACATCAAAGTTAAATATGGAGTTAGGGGCATTGCACTGAGCCTTTTTGAAAGCTATCTTTCAGATAGACAACAATTTCTTAAAATAAATTCAACACTTAGTGCTCCGATGAACATAAAAATTGGGGTTCCCCAAGGAACAATCCTGGGGCCGATCCTTTTCATAACATATATTAATTCATTGCTGAAACTTAATATTCATGGGAAAATGATTTCTTATGCAGACGATACTGTTTTGTTGTTTGAAGGGGATACATGGGAGGAAGTTAAGAATAAATTGGTTGATGGCTTCAACGCAGTCAAAAACTGGTTGGACTCTTATAAACTGTCACTAAACCTAACAAAAACCAAATATATAGCATTTTCCTTGACCCGCGCAAATAGACCAGCATTTAATCACATCACAACTAACAGTGAAAGCAATACAACGATAGCGGAAGTATCGGAAATAAAATATCTTGGTCTCATAATTGACCAGCATCTCAAATGGAATGGGCATGTATCGTACCTTACTAAAAAAATCCGCACGCTTATTTATAAATTCTACATTTTAAGAGAATTCCTATCCTCAAAACTAATATTAATGATTTATAAATCACTGGTTGAATCCTTTCTCCGATATGGACTAATAATTTGGGGGGGCACATACAAGAGCCATCTACTTCCTCTCATGACAATACAAAATTACATTCTAAAGGTCATCTTTAAAAAAAAAAGATCTTTCCCAACCAATTTGCTGTATGATGCGACAATATGCAATATTAGATGTCTATATATACATTCCATTTGTCTATTTACATTTAAAAATAAAACCATGAAAAAATTTATTGCACATGACCACCAGACTAGATCAAATGTAAATAAACACCTGATGATACCAATGAATAGCAAGACTTTAAACTTGAAATTTATAGATTATTTGGCACCAAAAGTTTATAACTTGTTACCAACGGAAATAAAAAACCTATCTAGAATAAAATTGTTTAATAAAAAATGTAAAATATATATTGTTAAAAATAGTGATAGTTTTATGGGGTCAGTTAAGTTAGCCCCCCCCATAGAAAATTTCTGGATGAAAATTATCCCATAATTTTGCTCTCATTTTGCTCCATTTTGCTCCACTAATTTCGATTTTTGCTCCATTACAGTAGAGAGACTATGTGGCCTATTAGGTGGGGGGGCTGAATTAACGCTAGCCCCCCCCAGTGAAAATTCAGAAATTTGATCATGCTCAT